GGCCAAGGTCACAGCTCTCTGCCCACCGAGGACACGGCAACCAGCAGGGACCTTCCTCCCACTCTCCAGCACGGGCCTGTGAAGCCAGAGGGAAGTTTACAGAGCAGAAATAGCCAGAAGCTGCTCTCTGCTTCCATACACTCTCTGATCGATCATTCCAAAGGAAATCCCCCATGGATCGGAAGCAATCACCTCTAATTTTTCCTCTGGAATCATCACTGCCTTGCCTTTCTGTGCAAGTGTTTCCTTCCATGCCCATCCATCACCAAAGCACTTTACTTAGTCCATCTTTTCTTCCCAGCTGCAGCTCTCCAGCACAACTGCCACTTCTCACAGACACAAAGTAAACAGTCCTCTGCTACAGGCTTTGGCTTAGAAAGTAAAAACCTCAGTGCATCTGGCTACATGATTACAACACATAGATGGAAAGGTTTTCAGGACAGAAAAGAACTGTTTCAATAGCACACTTCCATACACCTTCAGAAAAAACAGAATTAATAGCAACTCCTAAGACTCCTGCTGAGCAACCCAGCCCTCCTGGGGACACCCAATGCAGCAGACATGGGAAAAGGATGGGCAAAGCCAAACTTGGAGTGAAAAAAAGAGAACATAAATAGAGCAGCCTGCAAAAAGCCTTCACGCAGCAAGAGTGGGAACCATTTACTCCATCCTTGCTTTTTGTGCTGCCATAGGGATGAAATAAAAACACATGAAACACAAGGCAGAGCTAGGATGCACCAGGTGTTCGACAAATGCCTCTCCGTGCACTAACGGCCAGCCCAGTTTCAACCCGTCCTTAGTACAAGCCTTCCTCGCCTCCCGTTTCCCAGCGCTCCGCTCAGGGCTTTGGACCTCTCCCTTTCCTCCCGCAGCAGCACGGCACCAGACCGCAGCGAGGCAAGGCGTGCCGCAGCCGCCCCCCCGCGTACCTGTCAGCTCCCGGCGGTGGGCAGCCTCGGCCCCGCGGGCAGGGAGCCGGCTCAGGCGCTGCCAGCGGCTGCTCTGCCCCGATGCTTTCGTGTTTTCCTCCATTTCCCTGGACCGGAGCGGGGCGGGGGGGCGGTTGTGGGAGAGCGGAGACGGCGGAGAGCGGAGGGAGAGCGGGGAGGCGGCGGGACGGGGCCGAGCCACCCCGCGCTCTCGGCGCGATTTCCCGCCGCCTCTCCGGGGGCGAGGACGCGGGCGGCGCGCTCGGCGGCCGGAGCCAGGGGCGGGCAGCGGAGCGCGGCGGGACGGGACGGGCGGCTCGCCCGACCTCCCAAAGAGGGCGGCAGAAAGGGCGGGGAAAGCCGGGACCCCGCTCCGCCTGCCGCCCCGCCTGCCCGGCGCCGCCCCGCCGGGAATTCCCGGCCCGCGGTCGCTCCCACCGCCTGGAGAGCGGCTCGCGGGGTGCAGCCCTGCTCCGACGGCGCTCGCCCGCCCCCGCCCGCTGCCCCCGGCCCGTGGAGCGCTGCGCCCGCGCCTCCGCCGCCCGCCGAACCCGGTCCCGCCGCCGCTGCCATTCATCTCAATCACCGTGTCCGTTCGCACGCCCGAACCTCCTTCGCCCCTCCCCGCTGTTTGCAGACACCGCCCCGCTCGCCGCTCGCCCCCGCCCCTCGCCCTTCCCTCGCTCGGCAGCCGCTCCTGCCCCGCCCCGGCACCCAGCGGCGCGGGGCTGCAGTACCGCGCTCCGGCCGCACGGCGGCAGCACTCGGGGCCACGGCCGGGGCCGCCGCTCGCCTCGAGGGAGGGGAGGCGGCAGGAACCGGAGCGATCCCCTTGGAAAATCCCCAAACATAAATACCCCAAAAACCCCGCACCAAAACTAAAACTAAACCCCTGCCTCTAACCAAACAAACAAAAAAATCCCCCATTTCTTTTAAACTATATTTAACTATTTTTTGTATTTGTATCTTTCATATTCACATTTACATTTATATACATATACAATGTATACGGATGTATAATGTTATTCTATTCTACATTACATCTCTTCCTCCTCTTTGTTTGCATTCAGAACAAAGTCTTTAAAACTACAGTTAAATATTTTTATATTTATATTTTTCATAATTATATTCACATTTACATTTGTATTTTATATTCACATATTTTATTTATAGATACATATATATAATAATGTAATATTATAGATACAGTGTTATTTGTATTATGTATTTTTCAATTTCTAAGACTCATAATTATTTCTGGTTTATATTTTTATATGTATCTTTTTATATTTATGATACAGTTCTATATTTAGATTTATATTTTTAATCATTATTTCTGTTGTTAATATTTATAGGCAAAGCCCTGCCTATAACCAAATCAAAAACACCCCCACCGATTTTAAAATAATATTGAAATATTTTTATATTTATAATCTTTCATACTTAGATTCATATTTACATTTACAGTTTATATTGATGTATAATATTTACAGATGTATATAACAAACATAGCAATATAATAATCTATATACATTATAATTTCTATTATGTATTATATCTATTTCTAATACTAACTATTTTATATTTTTATATATGTATTTATTGTATATTTCCTTATTTAGATTTCTAGATTTATAGTAATTATATTTTTATAGTAAAAAAGCTGTGTATAACCAAATAAAAAACCAAAAAAAGCCTTTATTTTTAACAATTTTAGAATATTTTAAAATTTATAATTTTCATATTTATGTTCATATTTACATTATGCTTCATATTTATATTCTATTTGTATTTATAATTTAGCTATCATAATCTATGGATGCACTACATTTATAGATCTAATATACATTACACATGATATATTGCAATATAAGAATATATGTACAGTATTATTTGTATATTTTTATTATTTTGAATTCATATTTTATATTTTTTATATCTCTTTATACATTTATTATATATCTCTATATTTATATTTCTACGTAGTTGACGTTGCTACTTATAATCTACATTTCTATATTTTACATAAGCCTATTATGGATATTAAACAGTATAATATCGTCTAGGAAAACATGATGCATGTCATATAAATTTATTTTATTTAAATTTTATATCTATTTATATTCCCATTTCCATATTTCTACCTTTGTTTTGCTTATTTACAGTTCTATGGAAGAGACGGGACGGGACGGGCGCCCCGCACGGCACGGCAGAGGTACCGGCCACTCCCAAGATGGCGGCCGCGAGAAGCGCTCGGCAAAGAGAGGCGTCCCGACTAAAGCCTGTCGACGCCCGTCAAAAACACGGCCGCGCGCGGCGCCGCTGAGCGCACAGCCCGTGTCCACAGCACTTGAATCGCCACAGAAAATCGTGCCGGAGCCGCGCCGGCGTCAGGGTGCTCGGCAGGCAGTCCAGTAGACGAATCCGGGGGGCCTTTAGTTTTCCCGCCCTTTTGCCTCCCTGTTGAGAAGGTCAAGCCGGTCCGCGACACGACGCGACACGCCACCCCCAAGATGGCGGCCGCGAGAGGCCCTCGGCAAAGAGAGGCGTTTACACTCAAGCCTGTCAGCGCCCGCCACA